TTTGATAACAATAACAATAATATTTGTATAACAGCAATAAATTCTTAACCACACCAAAGTTAAGTCATTCGAACAATATAATAAATTACTTGCGAATAGTAAAGAAATAACATCTGGTCACACTATAAGTTCAACGAATATATTTTCATTCAAAAGTCACTCTTCAATAAAAAACGAGAAAAAATAGAGTTGACCTTGTCAACTCTGTGATACCCGTACGAATTTGTTATCGAATATGCGAGTAAATATGCCATAATTGACTATGGGACAGACTGTGACTTTAAGTTGCCGAATTACCATATTAATTTATGTAAAATTTCAGTACTGTGTTCTTCAAAATTAATGAAAATGTGCCAAACTGCTATTGAAGTTGTATGGCCGCTACCAAAAAAAGCCAAGAAATTTTAACGAATTTTATCAAGTACATCGGCTCTACTAATATATTCCCTTGTGTGAAATTTCAATACCATAGCTTTTACAGTTTCTGAGATATAGCCAAATAAATTTTGAAGTTGTATGGCAGGTACCAGAAGGAGCCAAGTAATTTCAACGCCTTTTGTCAAGCAAATCGGCCCTACTATTATATTCACATGTATGAAATTTCAATACCATAGCTTTTATAGTTTCTGAGATATAGCCAAATAAATTTCGAAGTTGTATGGCAGCTACCCGAACCGATACCCCGATCATGTCCAATTTAAATAGGGTTCTGGCACTTACTACAATAAATCATTTGTAAAAATTTGGTGAAGTTAGCTCAATTAATTTTTGAGTTATCGTTGGGACGGACGGACGGACGGACGGACAGACAAAGCTAAATCAACTCAGAATTCGACGCTGATCAAAAACATACACTTGAGTCTATATCTAAGATCGTTATTTCTTAGCGTTACAAACGATAAGGCAAATTTAGTATACCCTTCGAACATACGTTCGTACGGATATAAATATTACACATACATGTATAAATAAATAAAGTATTTGCATAGCTGAAAATTTTATATTCTTGCGTTCCTAATGTGGTTTAATAATGCGACTCTTTCATTCATTTTCGATTTTTTTTTTGTGATTCTAATAAGAACTATGTATATTTTGTGTCTTCTATTTGAAAAATACTTCATAATGGTTTTAACTATATAGTGCCTACTTTTGACAATGGCGCTTTAAGCACGTTTCTGTAAATAAATTATATTTACACTATGACTATACTCTATATTGACAACCTTTATGGCAGTCAGATGCCAAGATAAAACAGTATTTAAATATAATTACAAAAATTTTAAATAAAACTTGAAGAGAAAGAGGTTAGTTGCTTGTCACTAGATAAACTGTAATTGTATACGATTAGACAACTCAAACAATAATTACCTAGACTGGTTTACATAACCTACGTTAGGATTCATTGTAAATAATAAACCAGATATTGCTTTTAAATCTTAATTTGAGCGCATATTCAAAGAAACCCTGACATTCGTTGTTCCCCTTTACATTTAGACTTTTTACTTTTCAACACTTTTGATTCCGGCTCTAGTTGACCTTTCACTTTCCTACTTCTGTCTTATTTATGTAACTGTTATGCAAGGGTTGTATATATAACATAAAATTTTCATTCTTCACTCAACGCACAAAATTTCTGTCATTTTATTTATTCGGTCATACTTTGTTTTCTTTTTTTATAGCCGTGAAAAATAACACCAAAGATAAAAATAAAAAATTAACCGTATCACAATATATGGTCAACCGAACCACCTCAGAATCATTTCTAACCACACACTTTAAAATATAAAAAAAAAAATATGAAAAAAGGGACTTTCAAAATTTACATATTATTACATAATTTGTGAATGCAAAACTTCCAAATTCCACCCCCACGCCCCCACCATTTAAAAAAAAATGTTGTTTTTATTGTATTAAAAATGACTCAATCCATTAGAAAATGAAAATGGTGTCATTACTCTTTCTCTCTCATAGTGAAAACGAAAAAAAAAATACAACACGCTCACAAAAACTAAATTGATGTCCTTTTTATGCAAATTTTTTTCTTTTGAGTTTCTTTAAAAACGGGACATTGTTTTGCCTTCACATACATATTTTTGTTGACTAAACAAAGTCATAAATGATATGCATTGCAAAAGGATGAATAATATTAAAACAAAAAATAAGGGACGGAAGGAACACACACACACAAACAAAAATAACCGCTTAACCTCAAAAAAAAATTCCTTAAATACATTGTCCTCCTTTGTAAAATGATTTCCGAAAATGAAGAGATAATAATATAAAAAAAACAAGGAGAAACATTATTATAGCACTCTATGCAGCACTCGTCTATATGAATGAATCTATAATTTATATTGGATTAAATGTTCAGTGAAATGGAAAGTATCCTTGTACCCATTTTACCTTATATGTGTATTACAGAGATACAAGAAAAATACAAAACTGTACTACTTAACGAATTTTTGTCAAAAAATTTGATTTTATGTCCAAATGTCATCGGATTTGTAATGCTGAACCCTATTAATAATTTAGATAGACTGACAGACTTTGGCCAAAATTATGGTTCCGACTTCTGTTATCGTAATTTTTATCGTAAATTTAATAAAATTTGTCTCTAAAATAAAATTTTGTTAGAAAATTATCTTATGAATTCAAGAAAATTTTAATTGCTAAGAGCAAACTTTTTATTTGTGAAAATTTTTAAATATACAACCAAAAATACAGTGAGAATTGTAAACCTTATATTATAAGAAGACCGTATACGTATTTCTTTTTCATTTCAGTGATTTTCTTAACTTGCTTATATAAAATACCTTACTAGAATTGCAAAGTCTAAATTTTACATAAATAAACCCAATATTTATTTATATAATATTTTTCTATTTTTGTTTTTCTTTTCGTTGCGTGCAGACGGATTATAATGGGTCTTATAGTAATATTTAGACCGTATTATACTTTATTATACTTAATTAAATTCACAGATTTGCAACACAATATACGAGAATAGAAAATAGAGACCACAAATGAAACAAAAATTGTATGATAAAAATTAAAAAAGGAAGGATATAAAAATTTTTATTATAAAAAACGGCCACCTATAGTGCGAGAGAGAATAAGCGAATGTTGTGTTTTTTTTTTCTTGCCTGTTAATATTTTATTTGTGTCGGAAACGGAAGTTAAGTCTTTAGCGTTTTCACCGCACTAAAAATTTCGCCAAAAAAAAAAATATCGAATTTTTTTTTTGTTTATTTTTTTTTTTGAAGATTATTTAGAAAATTTCGGTAACTCATTTAATATAGAAATCGGTAGGAAATTTTTAGGAATTTAGAAATCGGTAGGAAATATTTGAAAAAAAGAAATTCAATAAATTTAATTAAATTTAAATTGAGTAAATTCAATAGAAATTGGAAATTTACTGTTTTGTCTTATACCCCTATATTGGAAGGTATAGAATTAGAATATGACTTGTGGTAAGAAAATAAAAAAAATTATTATTTTAAAACTCCACAACTGATTTATTCCTTCCTACAAGAGAACTTTCAAAAATCGAAACGAACATACCAAACATACAAAACGCAGATGATAGAGGTCTAAAATTATTCATCGACTTATGCTACATGTAAGCAATGTGCGATAACTGTAAATAGAATTTGTTTTATTGCTTAATACAAAGTTTTAAATTCGGAATAATTTCTTAGGTTTATGCATTTCAGACATTCACATCATTAGACGGTACATTTACCATGAATCCCACTATGTGTATGACTCCTACTGTACGACTGTGTATGAACTTAATATTATTTTACTTAGCGTTGAAAGGATAATTTATTTTATTTTTCTATTAAAGATTATGATTTAAAAGGTGTTAAGTATTTGAAGTCAGTAAAATTTATGTAAGCATCATCATTTAATATTCAATTGAAAAGCAAGACGTTAACCATTTATAATTTTAGTATTTTAAATATTCTTGTCTAATAACTTAATTAAATACCAGGAATATAACATGCTTCTTTACACACAGGTTAATCAAAAGAACAGTATTTGATTTTATGCTTACAGAATAAAAGGTGCAAGACCCTTAAAAACACACACATTAATTAAGTTGTTCTCATCTGTTCATTGATTTGTATTTGTCCTCAATTAGCGCTTCAAGTATACAAAAGGAAATCTTTTTTCGTATTTATTTAGTTACTTGTTTATTTTCCTTGGAACCTAAAAAAATGTTTATTTTATGGGCATATTACAACTCTGTTAAATACTTAAGTACATACAATATACGTCTGAGTATATATAAATAAACTCCCTTTTAATTTCATCACAAAAACTTTTGAATGGAAAATTAAATGCAAAATCTATTAATGTATACCGTTTCAGATTTGTATTTTGTTGGGAGTTTAATAATTTACTAGAATAATTATTAGCTCCCAATAACAAAAGCAATATGCGGGTAGAAGTAACTTATAATACATAGGAGTATATAAAATATCAAAAAAAAATTTGTTAAAAATTTCAAGTCGACCTGTAATAAAGATTCAAATGTTGAGATCTCACTTACTACAAAACTTATTTAATTCGTCTCAACTCCAAGATAATTTCAGATGTGAATGTTTTGGAAATTTAAATAAGCGAGTACATACAAAAGGCAGACCGATATGCCCTTGCCTTGCTAAAATTTGATTTTTTCTCTATCAGGAAGAGATAAATTTCCGCTTGGATATATTAAATTTGAAATAAAAAAATACTCTGTGACAAAATTGATCTTTCAAATAAAATCTACAATAAATAGTTAAAAAATGGCATTTTTATGGTTTTTGGACGGCTTTTTGAATAACATTTACAGAGGGGAGATAGGCGAAAGGTTTCTTCTTCTGACAGAGTGAAACTAGAAAGAATTTTTTGTGAAAATTTTTTTTTTGGAAAATTACTAAAAATATACTTAAGTTACTAAAATGCTTGAAGGTATTTATTTTATCTATTTATAGAAAATATTTCAAAGTTTTTCATCCTGAGCATACGTTCATACATTCCTCATATGTGTTGAAATTATTTCCATTACCTGCGCAGCCTCCATAAATAAATTCTTCACAGTCATGTGTTGCCACGTTATAAAAGTATCTAGAGAAGTTTCCTTTACACATTCCAGTTGTTAATGGCAGATAGCATTCGGGAGCTACGTCTATAATATGAGACATAATCAAAAAATTATTAAATTTTTAATGCGATTAAGAACATTAAATGAAAATAAAAATCTATAAATTTAGTTTTTGTACTTACTGCCGTTCACCAAATTTGTAAGAATCAGTGAAATGAAAGCAAAAATAATTGAAAAAAAATGCATGATTACAGAAACGAATTCCGTGTTATCACCTTTATGTATTAGACAAAACTGATTATACAAAATTAAGAAAATTTTATTTATATTTTAAAATAACAAAGCGAGAATATAAATTTGTACAAAGAATTAATATTGTTAAAATAAATAACATTTGTTTTGAAAGCTGCTTCAGGAATCTACAAATATTTTATTTCTAATTTTCAAATTTTAAAATATTCAGTGATTATAAAATTCATTTGAATTTCATAATACAATAATATTCATGTTTTGTAGACTTGAATCATTGTATACTGTTACACAAAACTAAATTTTCAAATAAATTAGTTTTAAAACAAAATCTTTAATATTTTATAGCCTAGCGAATATTTTTAAGTAATTTTGTCGTAAACGACAAGCCAGTGATTACTAAACTATTGTTAACTTTAAATTTTCCTATACATTTGAATGAATGAGCACAAAATTTAAAGTAAAATTAGGCCTTTGAATTTTTTTATCTTGCGTCTAAACAATACTAAGGTTGTCACTTATATTATTATTATCGTAACTGCAGAGTTTATTCTAACAATAAAATTTGATTCGCATTGAATAATTTATTATTAGCGTAACTACAAAAATTTATAAAATCGTATACAACCATTGATTTAGAAACATTCGGCGCTATGCTGAAACTCTTTCAGTTTAATTTAACCGATATAAACGTTTATTGAAATTTTTCGAAAATTAGAATATGTGACTCTCAATTTTATCACTCACAAATTTTATATTGGTACTTATAAATAGGCTCATAGGCAAAAACTTTTGGGTTCACAGGTAGTTTAGATAAACATTTTGCCAGTGACCGTATATAGTCTGCTTCATTTGTTTTTAGCTTCACAAAAGATTAAAGCAAAATTCTGTTATCTATACATTATTCCGTCGGTTAAAAAGCAGAAAGCACTAAGTGCATTTTTTGAGAATTCGGATTTCATGAATTAAATCAGAATAATATAATCTTTGTTGTGGTAAAAAATCATGCAAATCCAGAATATAGTTTATAAATCCAGAAATTAAAGAGACCAATCGAATTGCACTAATTGATTAGTTTTACAATTTTACGATTTTTTCAAATTGAAATTTCTCAAAACACAGTTTCCTGACTTAATGCTTTCTGCTTCTTAACCGACAAACTTTCCTAATTATTATTTGTACCCAAATTTAGAAATTAATTTTGAATTAGTTGCTGTTTGAACGAAGTATACATACATTCATATGTACATACATCTGTTTGCATAGTTTAATTGTTATATCAAGTGAAATTAAACAGAAAAAAGGAGTTGTTGGAATCAACCTTGAAGATCCAAGGTTGAAACTCAACAAAAAAAAATTTGCGAAAAGTAATATGAAAAATTTCGCATTAAAAAAAAAGATAAAAAGTGATTAAATTACGATAATTTATCATATAATAAATGTAAAATTTATTATATATTTATTATATAATATCCAAGTAAAGACAGAAAATTTGCTGCCGACGGGATTACATGTAGTGCTGGAATCACGGACTATTGCATCTCAAGATCAGAATTTTTGTGTCGTGGTCTGACCCTTTCATAGTCAGTGGAGGAAGGCGACTCATTTGAGGCGTTTTGAACTGGCTTTATTATCGAAAGCTCCAAAGATAGAAGTGGAGGCAGTGCTGCAGTCCCCTCCTTAACGTATGGTGTGTCTGAATAGTATCGGCTTCTAGAGGGGCCGAATGCGTTTCAGGGGGAATCTTAGATCTTGGAGGGGTCTCCCTATTATAGCTGGTAATATCGCAATAGTGAACGACAGCCGGGTCACGATTCTTGCTCTAAGGTCGCCTATGGTATCTTTGCATCTGATGGCCCAATGTCATCACACCTCTTTTGGTGCTTACTCTCCTGGGCCACGATAATATAATGGGGAATGAATGAGGGAATGAGCTGGCGCGTTGCTGACCGCAGGCGGAAAATTCTGTCCACATGCGGGATAGTAAGAAAGATGTGAAAGATCAGGCCAGACTAGTTACGTGTGGCAAAGACTGAGGGAGATATAGAAAGTTAGCGTCAAAAATTTAGATAGACTCAATGATACGCATAGTTATATTTTTAATAGTCGCAATAGTTTCAAAATAGTTTCGAGTAAAATCAACGTCACAAAATATGAATAAATCAAGTATTATAGCGTCAGAAAATATGAAGACGTTAAATTTCATCTAACTTTGTTACAATACCTAAAGTTAATTTTCATTTTTGCTAAAGTTCTATTTTAAGTTAATTTTACCTTAACTAACGGTTTCTTAAATATAAGGATTTTAAAAGTCTAATAAAGCTTTAATTTTTTAAAAGATTATTTTAAGAATCTTTTCCGGAACTTGGAACCTCAACGGATTTAGTTTCAAAATAGTTTTTCGAGATCTTTTTTGTAGAATTTTTCATAACTATATTAGCTGAGTTTACAAAAAAAGCTTTTTCAGGACCAAGCAACATTTTTCAGAGTACTTTTTAAAAAGATACTTCTGAACTATATATTTGGCGATTGATCGGGTCCTTGTACAGGAAGTTTTAGTTCTAATAGGTAAATTTTGGTAGTAAAAATATATGCATATGGTAAATTTGAAGTCACTAACTCTTTGCGTTCTGAAATAGAGAGCTTCAACAACAGACGAACGGACATTGCTATATCGACTTAGAATTTGACTTTAAACAAAAATATATTTGTTTTATAGTTTTACATATATTGCGACAAATTGAATAAACCTCCTACATATTATAGGCGACTATAAGAAAGGAAATATCTTTGAATAAAATGTTTGCACGAATATATACATATATTTGTACAAATATATCTTATAGAAATGGTTTAGGGACTCCAAAATATTTCGAAAGCAAAAACCTAAATCTCTCAAGCATAATTCCCACATTATTTTATCATAATTATCGAAAGCTTTCGACATAAATTGTCATTTTACTGTACATATTTTTTTAATGGTAAAAAATAAAAAATTAACAAAATACTTGAAGGTATTTATTTCATCAATTTTACAGAAACATTTTAAAGTTGTTTTAATTATATGAAATTTCAATAATTTTTTCAAGTAATTATGCTCCTGAACACGTACTCATACACTCATCATATGTCATAAAATTATTGTCATTACCTTGGCAGCCTCCGAAAATAAATCTTTCACAATTATTTGTGCCTGTATTATAAAAATATCGAGGTAAAAAAGACAGACAAGGGCCAGTATTTGGCAGTTGGCTACATTGGTCTGCAAAACAAAACATAATTAAAAATGATTTAAAGAAATTGTATTATTAAAATCTAATATTTGTAAAAGTCTTTAAACTCACTTCCATGCACTGAACTAGCCAGTAATAACGAAATTATGCTAACTAGCCAAAAATACTTCATTGTTAAATTGTTGCAGAAAAAATTTTGTGTTTTCACTTTTATGTACTCGTATTAGACAAAACTAATTATACAAAATAAAGAAATTTTAATTTAAATTTCAAAATGACAAAACAAGAATAAAACTTTGAACAAAAAACTAATATTATTAAAATAAACAACGTTACCTTTTTCAAAACAGCTTTATTTAACCAAAAATTTTGTTATTTGTCCATTTATATAAAAAGATATCTAGCACTAGCACGTATTATAAAACTCATTTGAATTTTCAAATAACATTCATCAACATCAAATATATTATCCAAGTTCGCAACCAGTTGTTTAGTGAATACTTTATGCATTATTTTGTCATAAGCAGTTAGAAATTAATCATTTTAAAATTTAGCTAATTGTATACAATATTTGATTTTTGTCTATTTTTGTAAGGTATGTGCACAAACCCAATACCCGACATGATGAATTAATTCATAAATTAAATAATTACCATATGTCGACAGTACTTTATCTCCTTGACAATATCCCCTACAGGGAACAGTAAATGTACTCATTTAATAAAATATTGTCATAGTTCCTTATCTGTGTTAAAGCGTCAAGTAGACCTTTATGACTTTTATTATCTTTTATAACACATTTGTTATTCTGTTTATTATTAATTTTTTTTTTGCACAAACATAATAAGAAACATTTTTTACTTTAAATAAAAATTTTGTACTTGAGCTTAGAACCATATACCATAATTTATAGTGTGGTTGAATCAAATATTTACCTATTGAATCAAGTGAATGTTCAAAAATGTTTAAACAAAATTAGAGCACAAATTTCTATGTATAAATAATTAATTCAATGAATGAAGAAAATCTTAAAATTGAAATAGGTAGTTAATTATTTCACGGATAGTTTCTTCGCAAAATACAAATAATTACAACCATACTTTACCAGTAAGTTGTAAATCAGCGACTAATCATATAGAATTTTGAATTTTAAAACAAATAAATTTTGTCAAATCAATGGTTTGTAATGTAGCACTTTTTCCTTCAACAAGTAAAAATACTGCTGTTAAAAATGCTAGGTCGTTTTTTATATTCATATAAGAAAATATTTAAAAAATTGGTGGTCCAGGAGAGTAAGCTTCTCAGGTGTCAAAAAGTACAGATGGGATTTGATCAATCCGTTGATGAATTCGTGGCATAGCCAAAATAAACTCACATATAAAATTTCATCAAATCGATTCATCGATCATTCATTTCATCGATTCAGCTGAACTTGAAATACACGGGCATGTACGCATACCAACATCTAGATAAAAATAATATATACAACTTCCTACCACAGAGAAATGCGTTCCCACTGAAAACTCGACATTTGGAATTTCGTGCCACCACATAACCTCCCTTATTGTATGCAACGCGGATGGTAAATATGACCCAAAAATTTTTATTCAAATAAAGGATCCTTAAAAGAGGTTACTATTTCTTTTTTTGTAGTATTGCGGTGAATATTAGTCAGTGATGAATCTTATAATAATATTTTTTATTTTTCACTTTTGGTACGGAACAGATGACTGACATGTTAATTGTTTTCAAAGTGTGAATCTGCGATATTTTATTTTTTTTTTTGTGTTTTCATCCAAATATTTTATTATTCAAGTATTTTATGTCTATGTATATGTATATGTAAACTATGAGATTAAATACAAATTATAATTTTTTTCTTTAAAATTGTTTTAGAATTTTAAATTTCAATAGAATCATCAAAAAATCATCAGTAACTTAGAATGTTGAAAGGAAACTGTTAAAATTAAGAAATGACTTGCATAAAATATTTTTTATAATAAAAAACAAAATTTTATTAATTTTTTGTTTTGTTTTCCGATACAATCAGTATAAAACTTTCAGTGTTCTTAAAAATTTTAAATGGATACTAATAACATTATTTAACGATTTTCTAATGTTCAATAAACGTTAAAAACATTACATAAGTGGTTACTAATTGAAACATAATCACAATTGGATATGGTCTGTGTAGAAATTGGCAGCTTCATTTCACTTTTTCTAAGCACTTTTGAAAATTTTAAAAAAGTTGAAATTTATAATCGACATATTAAGCTGAGAATCCTCATTTAAGCAAACAGATCATTGATCAGTACTCAAACTATTCCGCACTATGTTTGATCACTCCTCAAACTATTCCGCACTATGGTTGATCACTGTACGAACTATTCCGAGCAATGGTCGATTACTGCTCAAAATATTCCGAACTATGGTTGATCGCTGTACAAACTATTCCGCACTATGTTTGATCACTCCTCAAACTATTCCGAACTATAGTTGATCACTTTACAAAATATTCTGAAATATTTCTTGATTATTTGTTAAAGAATTCAAAATATTTAAAATTTGAGAGTTGGTTTTACCCTAAAATAAAATGTTTTTAATGAGATTTTTCTAATTTTGTTTTTATACAAAATTCATGTATGTATGTATTTGCAAAATCGATAAAATATTTAACCTTGTATTATAGAAAATTTTTCAAAACACAAAACTGTCATGACGTAAACCGAAAAAAAAGTGATGTTTTAAAAACGGAAATATTTCAAAAGTTCATTTTTTTGTGAGTTTGAATTCATAAATTTGGTAAAATATTTACAAAATATTTTTCAAATTCACTAAAGAAACCTTAACAAAACTACAAAATATTTTCCGCAAAAAATTTCAATATTTTGTTTCTTCACGATATTATTCCAGAAAGCCGTATTTTTCCCTCAATAATTGGAGTGAAAGAAACAAATTTGAACTTCGGTTCCCAGAGTTCACAGATTGGTTAATATGCACCGGTCATATGAACCAATCAATCGACCAACCAACACCTTAAATATGAGAAAACTAAGAATAGGTGACTTATTATGTAATAAGTTTATGTCAATATAAGATTTATCTTCATTCGTGTCTACTCACATATTTAAAGCTATAAACTAGAACTTAAATGTCTTAGAAAAATATAAGGTAAGTATGAGTTTCCAATTTATATATGGATTAGCAAAATAAATTAATCAAGCCACATATGTATCTGAAAATAAATTATTAAATATGAAAATATTTTGAAGTTACAAAGCACACGTCACACAAGAAAACTTTATTATTAAATTTTTATAATCTGAAGAAAAATTGCATTAAATTTATAAAGACTTAAATTCAATTTTGGGTTTAAATTCAAAGTTTAATCATAAATGATGTAAGAAACTCAAAACCTTTATATCTGAAAATGTTTTTGAGCTCGAACCTCTTGTCTTATTTCATAATCCAACCTAACTTGCATTTGAATATCCAAAGAAAATTCGATAACTACTTAATTAACATAATCCCTAGTATGATGAAAACAAGGTTTTTTTTTTGGAATTTCAGTATTCTCGTAAAATAGTTCTTTCTTTGCAGTACAAAATATTATTTGGATTTATTCAAGTATATTACAATGATCAGAGTTAAATTCATGCCGATTCTTTTATAATATTCTATAACGAATTGAATTATTGCAATATTAAGGATTCGCCCCCTGGTATAAGAACATCATCTAAAGTCTAATCTGATTAATAAAGAATGCGCAACTCGCAAATAATCTAAAGGTAAATTTTAATTTTTCTGTTTACTTATTCCACTTAGAAGCACTATAATCTTCCACTTGACTTTAGATGATGAATCAAGTATCAGTTTTAAAGGTCATTGGAGCTAACTAGGCGGGGACCATAGTCTGCCGTAGTTTTTCTTCATACTAATTATTGAAGATTATTGATATTATTATTGTTTATTTTTGTTGCTGTATAATATCTTAATATTTATGATTATATTATATATTAGTTTTGTAATCCAAAAACCTGACATTAACTCTCCTTCTGCATCTCTTGCTCTTCTTCTTAAACTTCTATAAAATATTTCTCGTTGATTGAATGACCGACTAATATCTTAACAAAATATAAGTTTTTATATTTTAAGTAACTGTGAACTTATATGTCCATATATGGTTAATGTTGCAAATTTATTTACTCTTTTTTGATAAAATGCCAAAATATTCTCAATTAATTTATTTTTCTTTAAAATTTCTCACTTCTTCTTGAGAATTCTTCTCAGTAATTATTTTATCTATTAAATTAATTACAAGCAATATTTTATTTGAAACTGATTAACTTAATATTGTTGCAATGCTGTAAAATTATGACCCAATAATAAGAGTACACCTGCAAAACACAAGATAAATTTATGAATTTAAAATTTGTTAGTTTGAAAAATTTTATTTAATATTGTAGCTTAAATTTTTTAGTACAAAGCATTTTTTTTTCCTTATGACATGCATAATATTTTTAATAAATCCATTAATTCTTATCTAGGTGCATCAAGATGTTATGCTTTTGTTATGTAATGGGAGATTTTTTTTTACTAAAATATTCAAAACCAATAAATGGCACAAATTTAAATTTTTTAATATCAATAAATTTTTTAACAAAATATTTGATATATAAGAAATTCTTGGTTTCTAAGAAGTGTGCCTTTTTCTTTCAAAACAATGTACAATATGCCATAAATATTGCACATTGCGTCCCTGTTGTAGATCCGCCGCTGCATAATTATGTAACTCAATTTTTGTGAAACCATTCTCGTATTTGCAGAAATAGAAAGGTATTACAATACAAGTTATTGGTGCTACCTTACCCCTTCAAATATGAAAATTGTTTTCACGAAAATCGGATTCCATAGTAAGGCCCCTGGAGTGTGGCTGTACTCTGGGTCAATATTTTTCTTCTTCCAATTTTTGCCTGGCAGAGTGGTTAATTAAAAATTGTTAATCAAAAACAAGCTGACGTAACTATCT